TATTCATAGTCGTCTGCTTTCTTTGGTTCATAAGGTATAACAAGTTTGTATGCTTTGCCTTCTTCGAGTTTTGAGAACTTTCTGTCAAAATTTTCTTTGACTGCTAACAAACCTTCTATGTCTAAGTCTTCAAAAGTTGCACCACTTTTTCTAACAACAGCAAACTTAACTGGTGCAATGTTCCAAATTTTGTCAAATGTAGACTTTTCAAAATTGTAGAAGTAAACATTCAAATAAGCGAATGGGTCTAGTTCTTCTTTAAGTCCTGACATGTACTTGTTGACTGAAATATATTTTGCCATCTTTTCTATCGGATAAAAAAATATTTTTTTAAAATTTACTCAGAAAAATTTTTCTTTGTATATACGCCGTTCTGAACATCTAAAAGACTTTTGACATTTGCCAAGAATGTTCGTTTAGACGCTGCCATATAACCATATTCTTGACAATATTGTTTATACGAATCGTACAATGACCTTTCATCTAAACACTCAAAGTTAGTCTCATCTATAAACAGTTCATATACACTCTTGTTTGCTTCTAACAATGTTTGTCTCTCTTCGGTATATGGAATTTGTCTTGGATTGAACTTAGAAATATCTAATGTCATAAAATATGAGAACAAGTGGTTGTAAAAGTCAGATGTCAAAGTTTCTGACAAAGCGTCAAAATATTCTGTATCTTGCATATGAGAATCTGACGTTCTGACAACTACATATCTTCTGTCAGAACTTTCTAACTTCATCGGAAAACATTGTTTGAAACCATGACGAAGTTTGCAACATTTTCACAAACTCTTTGGTCTTTATACTTTCTTTCAACAACTCCAACTTTGTCTGTTATAAGACTCTTCAAAGCATCTGAGTTCAAAACTTTTGTTGTATCTATACTTTGAAGTTCATTGCAAACTATAAGTTTCATATTCTCTATTGAAGAGTTAAATTTACCGCAGATGTTTTCTAAGTTTGTCATATTCGGATTCGAATAACCTTCTAATAGTTTGCATAAGATATCTGTAAAGAATGTGTTCTTACCAGTTCCTTGTTTTCCAATTATAATGAGAGCAGTTTCATTTTTAGCACTTGGATGTTGTAAGATGTTTGCAAACCAACATAAGATATACTCATAGACTCTTTCGTTTCCATTGCATATAATTTCTTTGACATGGTCTAACCAAGCTTCTATAATATTTTCTTTCCATTCTACTTGTTCGTATTTATATCCAGTGAAGATAGAATAGAAGTTTGGAGAAGGTGTATAGAACTTTATACCTCGAACTGAAAAATCTTCTAACTTTGACAATAAGATATCCCAAGCATCTAACATCTTCATGCCAACTTGTACGACTTTTATTTTCTTAAGTTTTTGTCTACATTCTTGTTCTGAAACTATTGTCGCTCTTGGTTTGTTAAAGACAACATCCCATTCTTTCATGACATAACATTCTGGGGCAGAGTCAACATAAATGACTAAACGTTTCAAATTCTCGACTGCTTTGTTATAGTCTCTAAATGGACACATATTTCTGAACGCTTGGAAGTCATAAAAATCTGAAACATCTATTCTGTACATTTTTATAAAAATAAAAAAAAATAATATTTTTTTATTCTTGACTTTGTTGTTGCATTTGTTCCATTTGTTGCATTTGTTGTTCTTGAGCTATTTGTTGTTGAAGTTGTTCTTGTAGTACAATACTTTCACCAGTTGCATCTTCCAATTCGAAACTTTCTGCCGTCATTGACAAATACATAGGACATAAAAGTTTTACAGGAACAAAGTTTGCGTCAACTAAGGTTAAGTTTATGTTTGCTAAAGTGTTTGAGTTCACTAAAGCTGAAAACTCTGCATTCGAATGAACAATAGGCAAACCAGCAGAGAAAGTGTTGTTTATACGCATGAGTATCTTTTGGTCATAGTAGTTTCTGTCGACATTCGAATAGCACTTTGAACCTAAGTTTGAAACAATATATAAAATAGGTGTACTTAAAGTCAATGGAATAGACATTCCTTGTATGACACCTTTTCCTGTTATAGGAAACTGTTGGTAGTAAAAACCAGAAATAAGTTTTGTATTATAGCTCATATCGTTTATAGTAAACTCAGTCGGACATCCAAACATAATGAAACCTGCTCTAGTTGCAGCACATGTTACACTCGTCCTTAAAGTATTAAATAAGTCAACAAAACCTGTTGGTGGTATATCTGAATAAGTATCTTCAAAGGAGTATTTTTTACCATTCACAACAATAAAATCTTCTGGTGTCAAAAGAGCAAAACAGGCTTTAGTCGTCATTGTGTTTAAGGTTAGTTTACAATATCGTCCTTGAGGACTTTGTAAGTTTGTTGTTATAGAATTATATGACTCAGGGTTTTTAGTCGTAATAGTATAAACCATTATGTCTTCTGCCATTTTACTTAGCAAATAAATTTTAATGAAATGTTGTGGTCGTCAAATATTTTTATAACGTCTGGGAAACTATACTTTAAGTTCAACGTTTCACCTCCTTTCATAACGTATATCTTGTCAATGACATTATATGAAACACCACAGCAACTAACGTCGGGTTCTATTTCTTTGATGTTTATATCGTCTGCCTCTGTCAAAAGTTTCAATAGTTCTTTCAAAACTTCATGAGGTGCAATGACATATGAGTTCACTTTTACAGGGTTGTGTTCGACCAAGTTTAACATTATACCTAAAGCTTGACAAATCTTCTCCTGAGTTTGAAGTTTGTCTTTCAGTTGTTGGTAGTCGTTTCGAATATCTGCAACAGAACTTAAGTCTCTGCTAACTTCAGGATATGTTGGTTCTTTTACAGGAACTATTGTTATACCATCTTGGTCTTCGTATGGTTTCCCCATTTCAACATCTCTTTCTTTGACATTGACAATAACACTTTGACTGTTTGTTTGAGTTGGTGAATTTAACTTCACATCTGCCATCGCCATTAAACCTTTTGAAACACTTACGCTTCTATTTTTCGGAAATGACATTTTACTTAGAATAAAAAGATGGACGTATTTGAGTATCTCTTCGAATTGAAGCAAAACAAAGTTTACACACACAAACAATACAAGTTCATTGACAGAGTAGTTCTTTACACAAACAATGGAAAATGTTATAGAATAGCAATATTTGCTGAACCAAAATATTTTCATAAAGCAAAGAAAGTTGGTATAACCGAGATGGTGAAAGTTCTTGAAGCAGACAAAAATATAACAACAAAACTGACCGATATTTCTAAAGGTAAGTTTATAATACAATTTTATGTCAAAACTGGCGTACTGTCAATATTTGACGGAGAGAAGTCAGTTCAAGAACAACTTACTGACCTGCTGCCAAAATCTGCTCGATGGAAGCTGTCGTTATGCCAATCTGAGGAGCCCCAGCAGGTTTCATCGAACGAATCTTCAAAAGAGCATCTTCCGTGAAAAGTGCTATTGGTTTTGTAAACTTCTTTGCTCTCAGTTCATCTGGACCGTCTCTGTCACCAGTATATTGTATTTGAACTGTACCAACAGTTGAAATACCACCCATAAAGTCTTCTGAGTCAGCAAATGGAATGCCAAGCCAAAAGTTTGAACGGTCTCCATTTGTATATTGAGTTTTTTGACCTCCTGTATGAGTCCATACTTTCACATATGGCATAATAGAACTTTGCATTTCAGGGTTAATGGTTGTTGTGAAGTTGTTGTTAAAGTTCATAGCATCTAATGTCAAGTTGTATGACCTCATATCCTCAACTGTAGAATATTCTTCTCTTGGATAATATTTGCCATCTATGTTTATATGATATTTAATACCGGGGTTGTAGAAACAAGAATAGTCATTTATAGTTCGTCTGAACAGTACAAACATAGTATCTGCATGTTTCATTGCAGTTGTTAAAGCAATATCTGTTCTTGCACCTGGGTCAGCACTTTGGTTTCCAACTTCACCTGCAAAGTCTTTGACAGATATTTGGTGTATAGGGAACATAAGTGGAACTGCAATATATTTGGCAGCTAAAGCATTTGAAATATCTGGGTCCAACATATAGACTGCAAGTCTGCTTTCTATTCTCTTGCATTCAAATTTTTCGCATGTGAACTTAACTGGGTCCCAAGCATCTCCAGCAGCATTGAAATAATAGTTTACTTCAGTGTTGAGGTTTGAGAAACCAAAGTCTAAGTCAACTTTGTTTTTGCAAAAGTCGGCGAATGACATTTTATTTGTTCCCACTACTTCTGTAAGAGTGAATGGGTCTTGTGTTGGTGCAATGACTAAGTTATTTTTGCTTGGAGTAAGTTCAATAGAAATTTTTCCTGCCCAGTTTGGCAAGTATCTTAAAAACCTGAAGATGAGGAAAGATGACAAAGGAACTCTAAGTTTCAGTTTTACTTTGGTTACTGCTGCTGCAGTTTGTCCAGAAAGGTTAACATAAACTCCTGGAACGTTAGGGTCAAGTCTTCTTATTTTCTCAATAGTTGCATACTGGTCTGTTTGTTCTCTAGCTTGTGGTTGTACTGAGTTTCTCAAAGCGAACCATTCATAGTTTGCCCATGTTACTGTTTGAACTAAGTCAGAGTTAGAATATATCTTATATCCCATGAAAACTTCTGGAGCATATTGGTATCCGACATAGAAAATTCCATTGCAACCTTTCTTGTCAGACAACTTGGCAGAAGGTTTTATTTCAATGTCTTGTTCCACGTATAAGAAAGAGTTGTCAATAGAAATTATATGAAACCTGTCGCAAGCAATATCTACTGTTGTTGAAGAACCTTCTCCAAACTCACCTACGTTTCCATAAGAAACAGCAGTTGTATATTCGTAAGTTCCAGGAACTATTTCTGACCTTCTAATGGCATTGTCGCATTCGTTATACCATTCGGAAACATTTCCATTCATAGCATCCAAAACTGTTGGCGTTATATTCTGAGCGGCGTACATTTCATATGAGTAAAAATATAGAATAGTTGGATTTATATGTCATAATAGAACCCACTCCGACCAAGCTTTACTTTCTTCCTGACTGAGTTTTTAACTCTGCTTGAAGTTGTTGCATCTTTGCATTATGTTCATCTAGTATGTTGCAAATTTCCCATGTCCTTTTTGCCTTTTGGCTCTGGTCGCCCATCTCAGGTAACCTATATCCTAGAAAGAGTTTGTCATAGTCTGTATTTGAGTCTTCGCGTATTGTTTGCATGACTCTTTCCTGAGTTTCCGGTTCAAGCGCTTCAAACAGTGCCTGTCCATATGGAATAAGCTCGTTTCCAAATATATGTTTTTGTAGCCATTCTGGTTTTCTTTCCATGTTACCAACTATATCTTTTGTGAATGGGAAAGCTTTTACCCAATCTTTCAGTCTTGCGTCGTTTATTTCTGTAGTTGGTTTTATTTTGTCAAGGAACATGTTTTTCAATACTAACATTTCATTTGGTACTGTCCATTTGAGTTTTCTTAAATATTCATCCCTTCTCGATTCATCGTCTGCAAAGTAAGTTTTTATGACATTTTGTAAACTTTCGTTTGCAAGGTCATGTACAATAGGTTCTCTTCCTTCTCTCTCCCTAACTGTCTTTCTAAACTCTTCACCAAATATACCATCTCTATGGTTCTGTGTAGTTCTTTGAGATAAATGTTCTAGAACGTCAGGTGTTATATTTCCATCAGCCATGTTCATTTCATACTGGTCCAAAATATCTGCATGTTTCATATCTTTCAATGGCATTAAAGCCGCGCTTAAAAACCAGCTATATCTGGTTCACCATTGACTTCCATTGCGTCTACAACTTCTTGGAATTGTGGTTGTAAGTTTATGAACCACCTATCCGGATTAGCTTTATGACCCCATCTCATTGTAGTTCCATCGTCTGCAGAAACAAAAGTAGGTTTGTTTCCATCTTGGTTAGGTTCTGAATGAACTTTAAACAATGTTTCATTTCTATATGTTTTCTTGAAATTTAACCTTTTATTTTCACCGAGTTCATCCGAAGATTGAACGTTAAATGCTCGTAAGTAAAAAGGGTTGTTGTATTTGTGTACATTTTCTTTCAGTGCTTCCATTCTATGCTGAATATTTTCATCTGGTGTTGGAGTCTTTTGTATGTCGGCAAACATTTTTCGATATTCTTCTACTATGTCAGCTGAATTTTTTTTAGACTCTTGGAAATATTCCATATTCTCCGCATACTCTTGTTGAGGGTCAAGATTTTTCGGCTGTTCCAAATCTTCATCTAGTTCTGTGAAGTTAGTTTCCAAAGGAGTGACTTGTTCGTTTCCTTCAGGCTCTTCTAGCTGTTGTTGCTGAACTATTTCTTCCATGTCTGGTTGTATCTGAACTAGTTCTTCCTGTGGAGTTTCTTGTACCTCATCTGCTGGCATTTCATATATTCCGAGACCGTTTTCAACAAGTTTCCCTTTCTAAGTCATCCGGACTCAAAAAACCTTTCTTCTTTCGTTCCGTCTCTATTTTTTACGCGTTTCATGACGGGAGTTGAATTGTCATTTAGCTCTGACATCAAATATCTCGGAGTAAATTCAGTCATGTCATTTGGATGATATGCTATTAAATCATATCCCTTAGCGAGCTTGTATTTTCCAGGTTTGAAATTATATCCCATTTGGTGCTGAACCATAAAGCTAAATAGGTTCGGGTCAGTATTTCCATCCTTGAACTTTCTAATAGCTTCTTTATATCTGTCACTAAAGTCAATACTATCTGGGTAACCATAGTCTTCCTTAAGCCTTTTTAAGAATTCTTGGTTTCCTTGTTCTCTACTTCTTTTATGTCCTTGCTCTGTTTGTGGTTGTTGTTGTGCAGGGTTTTGAACTGTTGGTTGTGGTTGTTGTTGTGCAGGGTTTTGAACTGTTGGTTGTTGTGTTGGTTGTTGTGCTGGTTGTTGTGTTGGTTGTTGTTGTTGTTGTGCTGGATTTTGAACTGTTGGTTGTTGTGTTGGTTTTGGTGCATGCCTGTGTCTGTGTCCATGTGACGATGTAAATGTTTTAGGTAGTCCTGGTGCAGGTGCTTCTCTTGGAGGGTTTGGTGGTATATAAATTCCAACAGCTGGTATATAAGTTCCACCAGCTGGCACATATGTTCCATCTGCAGCGTAATGTCCTACCTGACTTTTCGTTCTTAAGAAAGCATTTACTAGGTCTGTTTTGGTCTGTTGTAACTCTTTTTCTTGACTTTTCACAACAGTTGCTCTAACGGCGTCATAGGCACTTTGAACTGCCTGTCTCGTTGCTGCATCTGTTATTTTCGTCATATTTTGTGCTACTTCTTTTAACTCTTTGTCGAAACCTTCAGACTTCAGTTTCTTTCCAGATGAGAAGTCGTTCACTTGTTTCACCTTACTATGAAGAGCTTCGAAGGCGTTCTTAAAGTCAGCATTTGTTAAAGCTTCATTTGAACTGTCTTCATCCGCTTGTATTTTTGTCCTTATTGACCCTATAAGTTGGGCTGCTTTAGCGTTAGCTTGGGCATCTAACCAGTCATTGTTAGCTTTTATATATTCTGCGCTTTTCATTGCCTTTTGCATGGCTGCGTCGTTATTTTTACTTTCTTGTGCTAAGTTTTCATACTGTACGGTTTGGTTTTGCAACTGTAAAAGTTTTTCTGCCTTTACATTTGCTTCAACTTCTTTTTTATACTCATCGCTATCCATATATGTCTTCAGGGCTTTTTGTTTTATCTCTTCATCTTTCAGTACTTTATATTGAGTAGTATGGTTTTTCAAATTTATAACATCTTGTTCCATTTTTGCTACTTCTGCTGCTTTTTCTGACACTTTTTTCGCATATTCCTCTGTACTTAGTTCTTTCAGTTGTTCTTCTTTCTTCTTTTTCTCTACGTTTAACTCATTGAGTTTCTTTGTGTGTCTGTCATATTCTAGTTTCTTTTCGTTTTCACTTATTTGTTTCTGTATGTCTATGTTTGACTTTTTGACATCTGTTATTTGATTTTTGAGTGAACTCAAATTCATTTGACTTTGAGGGTTATAAGCTGTTCCGTCTGCAGCTCCACCATAGCCTGCCATTTTCGCTAAAAGTGCCGCTCTTAAACCTCCACTCTGTGCACCAACAACTCGGTTTAAAAGCATAGGATTGCTTGACATTTGTTGCAACATAGTGGGGTCATTCAGCATTTGTTGTTGCAACTGTTGTTGTGGTGTCAGTTTTACTTTTGGATGTTTCAATGCTCCCTTCCTCTTACGTATATTCTTACGTAGCTTACGTGGCATTTTAAGTGAAGTTAAAAACATTTACGATGAAGAAGTTTCGACAAAGCATTTACGAAGAAATCATGAAAATTCAAGAGGTGAGAAAACAGGTGAGAAAACGGGTGACATCTCACCTCTTCACCTAAATTATATTTTTGGGTCATTTACGCTCATTACGATGAAATCATGACAAAACATTTACGAAGAAGTCTTGACAAAACATTTACGATGAAGAAGTCTTGACAAAACATTTACGAAGAAGTCTTGACAAAACATTTACGATGAAGTCTTGACAAAACATTTACGAAGAAGTCTTGACAAAACATTTACGAAGAAGTCTTGACAAAACATGAAAACATATATAATTTGTGAAAAGCTCCTGGAAGACCCGTATATATAAGACCTTCATTTATACTAAACATCTTCGGGGGCTAGAAGGCACGAAGTGCCTGGAAGCCATCCCCCAAGAAAAAAAAAACTTCATTATACTCATTCATCCTCAGGGCTAGAAGGCACGAAGTGCCTGGAAGCCCCACTTCCTTTTTTTTTTTTTTTTTTTTTTTTTTCATTTCAAATATTCATGAGAAAGAAAAAAATTCTAGCAATTTCAAATATTTTTGATTTGATTGAATTCAAAAGTGTCACAAATATTCAATGAGAAAGAGAAAAGAGATCGAATATGTTGTTTCTGAGCGAATAGTCAAGCAATATTTCGTTAAGTACAAAGATCAGCATCCGGAAAAAAATAAATGGGTATATCAAAATGAGATTCCGCAAGAAATATTTGAAAAATATCTAGAAACGAAGAAAACAGAAAATATTGATGAAATGTTTACGCTGTACTCGAATTGTTCATGTTGTTGATCAAGATAAAAAAGAATTTTATCTTGAATTTTCAAAAAAAAATCAAATTCATCACATATTAAACAAGAATCTAGATGAAGAACATCAAAAGGCTTATATAGATTATCTTGAAAGTTTACTCAAACTTGAAATAAAAAATAAATTAAATTAAATTAACCCTCGTTAGGATATCGTTGCAAATAAAGATCTGTTTCTCAGAAAGATCCTGATTTTCTGATAAATATTCTGTTGTAACTTCTACAAGGTTTAAGATATGAAAAACATTTTTGAATATTTCATCGCTATCAAATCTGCGGAAACATCTGGAATATAATTTCAAATATTTGTGAAGATTTGAATTCTCAATTGCATAATTAATTAAAAATTCATGTGAATTTAAAAAATCGGTAGATGAAATTTGCATGGGTATAAGAGGAAGTACACAATAATACCCCTGAACTACATACTCTGTAAATGAATAGTGAGGAGAAAGACTTCGCAGAATTTCAAGTGTTTTTATGAATTCTAAAGCCATCTCAGATGTTATATCGACTGCTTTATAAAATAAAACTATAAATTTGAGAAGATAAACAAAATCTTCGTTATTTATAATTGAATTCACGTCATTAAAAAAGTTGAAATAATTTGATATTAGTATATCCGAACATGGAAGAGCAGTTGCATATCCTGGGTAATATTTTAATAATTTTGTAAAGAAATTTGCAATTGCATAAGTTGAATATTGATTTTCGTACTCAATAATACTAGAAAAAATTTCTTTCTTGAGTAAAACTGCGTTTTGGAAGAATTCAACGTCAAGAATATTGTTTTTAATCAAAGCAATAAATGTATCGATGATATAGAGAGAATTGTCACTGCTGCTTATGAAACGTAATATCTCATCATATTGATCGGAAAATGTTGATAAATAAAGGTATTGTATGTTATCTAAAGCTTTAAAATGAATTAATTTTAATGAAAAAATGAAAAAAATCTGGTTAATATAATGCGATAAATATTCGAATAAATTTTCCAGTAGTATCAAATCTATTTGAAAGATATTCGAAGAAGTGATATTTTGAATTGTGAATTTTAATATTGTTTCATTTTGTGTAGATTGCTCGATAATGAAATGTATCAAAAGATTCATTGAATATGAGTCAATGGAAAAGCTTAAATCCTTAGGGATATCCAAAATAAATCTTAATAAAGAAGATTCGTCTTGAAAATTAGCTTCCGAAAGTTCTATTTCAGTCGGAGCTGGAAGATTCCGATCATTTATGAATCTCGAAACGACAGAAAATTTGTATTGTTTATATTTCATTATTCGAAATGATAAACTTCAAAATCTAAAATTTATTTTTTTACAATATATTTCATCCTATTGTCAAGGCTAAATTTTTCACCGGAAGTGTATCAAAAATTGATAAGATTTACGGTGATCTAATTATGACAATTCAATGCATCTCGTGATATAACGCAGATATAAACACAACTGATATTGCATAACTAATAATTGAGTCAAATAACTAAATTATGTGTTATATTTTACACATATTTCTTCAATTTTGTAATAAATGGATGTTTAACACTAATTTTTTAAGGACTTCGACTTTAGCATCACATAAATATGTTATTTTCTATATTAAAACGTAATTTTGGTGGTCTTAGAATAGAAAAATATGCAATATTCGTGGAGATAATGAGGGTTCTTAAACATGTTCTTAAAAATAAATAAAATAATACAAATCTTTATTCAATCTTTTGATATTGTTGGTCCTCTCTTTGTGAAAATACTTAACTTCAAAGAGTATTATGTTTTACCTAGTGAGGACCTTAAGTTTGCAAAAACATAATAAAAGTAAAATAAAAAAGATCGGATTTATCACAAAACTTTGAGTATTATAGGATTTAATATATTTTCTTAGTAGATTATATGATTTAGTTTCTTAAAATCTAAAGTATTTCTTGAGGAAAATATAAATTGAAATTCAAAAAGTAAAAAAAATGTAAACAAATCAAATTTTAAATGGACCAAATGTTGATTTTTCATTCGTTTTCTCATTATCGAAAAAAATTTGGAAAGCTAAGAAGTCAATAACAAGTTATATAATACAACAAAAACCCACATCGGATATGTTTTCATCAAATAGTCTCCTAGATTTGTTATGAAATTAAAATATCATGATATTTTAAGGGCTTTTGATTTCAATATTAGAATTATTCAGTTATGTCGTGCTAATATCAATTGCTTTATACAATTAATCGTTTACAAGCTGCAAAAATCGAACAATAATTTGACTTTGTAAAAAAAGTGCGTCATTTTTATTCGTTATACTTACAAAATGTAAACATTACGAGAAACATTTACATTTGTAAATGTAACAAGTAAAGTTGTATCGCATAATTTGACTTTGTAAAAAAAGTGCGTCATTTTTATTCGTTATACTTACAAAATGTAAACATTACGAGAAACATTTACATTTGTAAATGTAACAAGTAAATACATCAGATTTAAATTGTAAATGTAGTTTATCTCTCTCATCTCCTTTTTAAAAGGTATTACATACATACGAACGCATGGGTCACTCAATAATTAGCGTGATAATAATTGAGGATAGACTGTAATCGTAATTTGATTTTTGGACTTATATTTCGACATTTTGAAGTCGCTTGAAAGTCTTGCAAATGATTAAATTTGGAAAATTTGACCTAAGTCTGCATTATTTTGATGACTTAAACAATTCTATAAATCTGTTTTCCTAAAAATTTAAAAAGATATAATTTCAATTTCCCTAAATTTATGTAATTCATATATCACCAAAATATTTGGACTGCATTTCGTTTGTCTGCACCTAATTAAAGTCTAAATACCAATTAATTTTGGAGTTGCATTGCTTTTAATGTAAAAATGCACGTTTAGAAAAAGACGATAACAATTAAATTACAAAATCGATAACGACGACGATTAAATTACAAAATCGATAACCTCTCCTCCCAAAGTGTCTGAAACTGATCATAAGGGTGAAAAACCGTTTTCCAGAAGTTGGGAACGTAGGGTATTGAGATTTTTTTTCAAAATGAAGTAATTTGGCATTAGAAGTCTGTTTAGAGTAATAAATCATGGAATGCATTTCATCTTGTTTATAAAATGATTATTACCCTCCATTTCTAAACATTAACAAATTAGATTAATAGGATTTGAAGATATACATTATGATATACTTAGAAAATTAATTTTTATTATCATTAAGGGTGCACCCGTATGTACGTTTATTTGAGAGGAGGAGGATTACCCTCTCAATTTTGAGGGATGAGTAGGTGCCAAAAGTGCTTACTCTTAAACAACCGTCGGATTTCCGGGTGAAATCGTGACACACTTTCGTCTTTCGTAGGCAGTGGTGGTTGTTACAAAAGGTAACTTCGAATGTAGCGTGAAATCTGCAAAAAAATTCTGAAATTTGAATGGAGAACAC